TTACTCCATCTTTTCCCGGAGCAGTGGAACTGCCACTTTTTATAGCATCCAGTAGCTCATCGTGGGTTATCTCAGTGCATGTTATAGATCTTGTATTTAAGGCACATAAAGTTACTCCATTTCTAATATTTTCCCATGACTCAATGGTGACTCTCGTGTCTGCAGGTAAGGACTCCATACCAGCAGCACTTACCCATTTATCTACTAACTCATTAGCAACTTTCCCTGGATCTGAGTGAGCAATGAATTTGGTCTTACAACCCCTGACTTTATTTACTGCTCTCCATATGTCTTTAAGGTTCTTAGTATTACCAATGGACTGAGCAAAGTCTTGCCAGTATCTGTCCCGCGCCTCCTTCCTCACCTGACTGCATTCCCTAGCCACTTCCAACATTGTATTTTTCTCTTCATCCCTCATTCCATTTTTTAACCATGCTTTATGTGCACTCCGTAGCATTCTCTCCCATCCCTTGACTTGCTGATCATTGGAATATTTAAATTTCTTAGGTCCGTGCGTCTTGCTTCCCCTGCCCCCGTTATTTTCCCTCTGTACTAATTTCTCTATGTTCTCGACCATGTCCTCGTAAAAACTATCAACGCAGAGCGGCGTGTAATGTTGATACCAATCTCCCATATTTTGAATAAAGTAATTTTTCATATCTTTATTAATATTTAGCCTTTTCCTTTGAAAGTGGACTTGTTTTTTCCCCAGTGGTAATTCAACGTTCAAGGCAAAGTGGTCACTAAGTAGTTCCCGAACAACCCGAGCCTCCCCCATAATCCCCTGAGAGTTTAAAACGCAGGCATAGTCAAGCCGTCCTCCCCTGATGTGAGTTGGTTCATTGTTTCCCAAGAGACAGGTATCTGGATGATCTTGTAGAAACTGTAACCACTTGACCCCATTAGTATTAATACTACCTACTGTCCCAAGGCTTGTGTGCCGAGCATTAAGGTCCCCAATGACCGTATGGTCATTGGTATGTTGCCAGCTAGACATGTGTTGGCGAATCTAGTTAGTTCCACCAGGAGGCCCTGTGCAATGTCTTCCAGTGCAGGGTTGAGCATTTGTTTGATGTGGTTGGGTCGTAGTCCTGTGAACCCACCTGCTGATCCTGGTGGGAAGGATAAAGCTGCTTTATGCACCATGGATTCGAGCACACACAGGGGTTCTGCTCTGGTGACACCGACTAGGGAAACACTGTCGTCACGAAGAGCTCTGGGTGGGTGTTTTTCCCTCAAGTTTTCCCCGAGTTTTCAGTTGCATATAGTCCTGGGGACCATTCAGGCTTGTTCGCATTTGTGTTCCTCACGTGTGCCCCAAAGAATAGGGTGATTTGATAAAATGCTATGCCGAAGATTATCATCCGGGTGCCGGCGGGGGAGGGGGGGGGGGGTTCAAATAGCTTCGGCTTTCACCTCCTTATGTCGAGTCATGATGGTCAAGCGAATTAAGGCGTCCTGTACATACCAGTTGCAGTGCTCCTGGTAGTATAGGTTCGAGTCACTTCTGGGGTGTGAGTTTTCAGTTGCATTCATTTCAGTGAAACGCAACACAGAATTCCGCTCAAATGCCTCTTTCAGCTCCTGCAGATGTCTGACATCAGGTACCTGTGTAAAAATGTCGTCAAAATACCTGCAGCATATGGCCGGTAAATGAACTTGATATACTGCCGTATATGCAGTATATGAACTTGAAACCGGCTATATACTGCAGGTATGTTGACGACATTTTTACACAGGTACCTGATGTCAGACATCTGCAGGAGCTGAAAGAGGCATTTGAGTGGAATTCTGTGTTGCGTTTCACTTACGAGATGGAGAAGGATGGGAAGCTGCCCTTTCTAGATGTAACAGTCTAGAGTTAGACTGAAAAATATATAAAATGTCGCATATAGTCCTGGGGACCATTCAGGCTTGTTCGCATTTGTGTTCCTCACGTGTGCCCCAAAGAATGAGGTGATTTGATAAAATGCTATGCCCAAGATTACCATCCGAGTGCCGGCGGAGAAGTGGTTCAAATAGCTTCGGCTCTCACTTCCACGTGATAGCCGGTCGTGATGGTCAAGCGGATTATGGTGTCCTGTAGTTACCAGTTGCGTTGCTCCTGGGAGTATGGGTTCAAGTCACTTCTGGGGTGTGAGTTTTCAGTTGCATATATTCCTGGGGACCATTCAGGCTTGTTCGCATACATACATATATATATATATATATATATATATATATATATATATATATATATATATATATATATATATATATATTCTACCTGACACCCTGAGTGATGTAGCGGGGATACAGGACCCCCACTACACGGAATGCGACACGAAATGGGGTGCCATGACAGACCCAGCACTCAGACCAGCCATGCCGAAAGCCAAGAAACAATCCAGTTGGGACAGCCCCATTGTAGACAAAGAAGCCACAGCTTTGCTGGAGGCAGCAACAACCCCCAGTGATCGTGCACGCCTCACAGCTGTGCAGGCTCCCCATGCAGGGGACTTCCTTCTAGCAGTCCCTATGTCTGCGACAGGCACACGTCTTGATCCGCAGGAGCTCCGTATTGCAGTCGCTCTCCGCCTTGCTGCCCCTATCCACACTGTTCACAGGTGTATTTGCGGCGAGGCAGATGCTGACGAATATGGATTGCATGGCCTGCACTGTGGAAAATCGGGTGGTTGGCACACTAGACACGACGAAGTCAACGACATCATTAAAAGAAGCCTTGCCTCTGCTCAGTGTCCAGCGGAGAGAGAGCCCCGCAACCTACTGAACCGTGACTCTGTTAGCTTTGCCGGCCGACCAGACGGAATCACACTGCGTCCGTGGAAGGGTGGCAGGCAGTTAGCATGGGACTATACTTGCGTATCCACCCTGGCAACGACATACATCACCCTCTCTGCCGGCACGGCAGGAGCCGCAGCGACACACAGAGAAAAACAAAAGTCAGTCAAGTACAGGCAATTAGATCAAAGGTACAACTTCGTTCCAATAGGGTCTGAGACCCTAGGCCCATGGGGTGAGAGTGCAAGAAGGTTTCTTAAGATCTTGGTTCCAAGCTCATTGACACCACAAGAGACCCTAGAGCAGCAAGTTTTCTCTTTCAGCGCCTCAGTGTCGCGATCCAGAGGGGAAATGCCCGCTGCATCCTCGGTTCCTGCCCGGCGTCGGAGGAGTTCGAGGAAATCTACAGCCTCTAGGAAGCGAACTTTTTCTTGTGTCCTCTTAATGTTCATTTTTTGTATAAAATCAGATATGTAACTGTATAACCTTGCATAATAAAGTGTACATCATAATAAAAAAAAAGGGGGTGGTAGGAGAAGTGAACACTCTTTCGTATTCAGAGTTAAATGTCAAGTTTTTCCCTGAGTGCTCTGTGTTCCCTTCTCTGAGGCTGTGGGTCCCTATAATTGCACCAGTGGTGGTACCCCCCTATATATATATATATATATATATATATATATATATATATATATATATATATATATATATATATATATATATATATATATACACACACACACATAAAAGGAAAGGAAAACCAGCCTATGCCTGCAATAACATAAATATCAGTATAAATATTCCTTGAAACACAATAATGACCAACCACCCACCTTTCACTGCGTCTCGCACGCCTAACGGCACTCAAGCACTCTACCAACTCCCTACAAATGGTCAATAAGAACTTCCTTTCCACATCCGGAAGTTCACTACCCTGACATCTTCAGGTTTTCGTAGAATCGTCTACCAGGGTCCTCCACAGCTCTCCTGGCTGCTACACCATGAAGTCTTCCTTGAGCAACAATGGTGCTTCACCACTGGTATCACAGAAGCATGTGAAACTTCACTCCATTGCTCCTCTTCTCACAACTTTAGGTCCAGCTGCTCACTGTATGACTGCTCCTCCACAAAGCTCAGTACCTTCCACAACCTTGGAGTCTCATCCACTACTCCTCCTTCTCTGCTGGCTCGAAGTTCACAGCAACTCCTTCCCCAGACAAACCTGCAACCCATCGATACGCCAACAAAAATGCTCCTTTTTAAACATATAACTAAAAATAAACTACACAAAATGTCTGCATCCGACATCTCTCTGCTTCCCATATGGTGTGAGAGGACTTCCCCCACATTTGGACTAGTCCATCCTCCGCCCTGCCAGCAGGCGGTTCTTCACCCTGGGAACTGTCCTCCACCACCAGCCGGTCAGTTGCCTCCAGGCAGTGGATGGGAGACGATGTGCTGCTCGTCCCTCCAGCTGTCTCTCTCATCTCTGTCCTCTTATTTAGGCTTTCTGCCTTATCCTAACATATTAGTAAACATCGGCTACGGTCGCTGGGCACACGACCAACTATAGGTAATCACTATTACCTGGTTAAAATTGTGCTTGCCACAAGAAGTCTCTTGTTGGGCGCTCTCTCTCTCGATGGCGCCTGACCGAGGCGCTCACACTGCTGCCCACGAAAATGTATTAGGACGGCTTCACAACTCTTCCTGCCGTCCAGGACTTGAGACCACGCTTTCCCAGCTTGATTTCATAGCTGAAACGTCTGCATACTTCCTTCCTCTTGAAGGTACATCAACTAGGGGTTTCTTCTCTAACAGGAGCTTAATGGAGCGCAACTTCCCCTCACGATTTCTGGTACTCAAGTGAGCTCAGGCTCCTCTGAAGCGAGCCTCACACCCCTAGCAAACTTTCCACATCTTATGACCAGTCATTTACTTATATCCTTATTCACTGCCCATACTCTAACTATTTATCAAATTTAATCACGTGTTTACTATATGAATATCTAGGTCTATATCTTCTTAAGTTCTTAGTTGGGTCAGACCTGGCAGAAAAACTTAAGGGGTACACTTGTTTCTCAGCTACCTGGGATCATAACAGTACATAGTGTATGTATGGAATATAATTAGATGAATTAATCTTGTTTTGCTCTATTCATCTTTAAGGGACGTTAAATTTCCTTGGAAAGAGGAACACAAAGCTTATGGACCTATATTACCTTCCGCCACAGCCCCTGTTGCTCTAGATGCTCCATGTGGGGCTCCAGCTTGTCCTTGTATGCTTCCACCTCCAATAGACGCTTCGTCCCAATCAAAATTATCACTAGACCACCTGTGTGACAGGAAGAGCATTAGTGCCTGGAAAATGAGCTGCCTTTTAACACTAAGTGAAGGCAGGCGTTCAACATTCAGTAATGGCAAGCGTTCAACATTCAGTGATGGCAGGCATGGCATTAAACATCCAGTTTTGGCAGATGGCAAGCGTTCAACACTCATTGATAGCAGGCGTTCACACACAGTGATGATAGGCGGTCAACATCCAATGATGGCAGGTGTTTAAAATCCAGTCAAGACCTGCGTTCAACACTCAGTGATGGCAGGCGTTAAACACACTGTAATTGCAGGCATTCAACACTCAGTGACGACAGGCGTTTAACATTCAGTGATGGCAGGCGTTCAACAACCAGTGATGGATTACGTTCAATTCCCAGTGATGGCAGGCATTCAACACTCAGTGATGGCAGGCATTCAACACTCAGTAATGACATGCGTTCAACACTCAGTTATGACATGCGTTCAACACTCAGTTATGGCATGCGTTCAACACCAATCAAGGCAGGTGTTCAACATTCAGTAATTGCAGGCGATCAACACCAGTCAAGGCCGGCGTTCAGCACACTGGTTGATACCTGGTTGATGGGGTTCTGGGAGTTCTTCTACTCCCCAAGCTCGGCCCGAGGCCAGGATCGACTTGTGAGGGTTTGGTCCACCAGGCTGTTGCTTGGAGCGGCCCGCAGGCCCACATACCCACCACAGCCCCGTTGGTCCGGTACTCCTTGCAGGAAATAATCTAGCTCTTGATGTCCACGTTTGTTCCGGCAATATTTCTTATGTTTGCTGGGAGGACGTTAAACAATCTTGGACCTCTGATGTTTATACAGTGTTCTCTGATTGTGCCTATGGCACCCCTGCTCTTCACTGGTTCTATTCTACATTTTCTTCCATATCGTTCACTCCAGTACGTTGTTATTTTACTGTGTAGATTTGGTACTTGGCCCTCCAGTATCTTCCACGTGTATACTATTTGATATCTCTCGTCTCCTTTCTACTGAAAACATTTGGAGGGCTTTGAGACGATCCCAATAATTTAGGTGTTTTATCTCGTCTATGCGTGCCGTATATGTTCTCTGTATTCCCTCTATTTCAGCAATCTCTCCTACTCTGAAGGGGGATGTGAGAACTGAGCAGTACTGAAGACGGGACAACACAAGTGACTTGAAGAGTACAACCATTGTGATGGGATTCCTGGATTTGAAAGTTCTCGTAATCCATCCGATCATTTTTCTGGCAGACGCAATATTTGCTTGGTTATGCTCCCCAAACGTTGGGTCGTCTGACATTATTATTGCCAAATCCTTGACATGCTGTTTTCCTACTATGGGCAGATTCGATTGTGTTTTGTATCTTGTTTTATGTTTAAGGTCCTCATTTTTACCGTACCTGAGTACCTGGAATTTATCACTGTTAAACATCATGTTATTTTCTGATGCCCAGTCGAAAACTTATCAATATCAGCTTGAAGTTTTTCAATGTCTTCAGCCGAGGTAATTTTCATACTGATTTTTGTGTCATCTGCAATGGTTGATACGAAGCTGTCTGTCGAGAAAGAAAGCTTACTCTCAATATATTGATATTTAATTAACTGATTTAAATTAATCGAAGGACCACCCTATTTTTACTGAAAAGGGAAACAGATAAATGAACAATGGAAAAAAGACTGAAATACCAGTGTCTGTGGATAATGTAACTATTAAGAGTTATTCCTATTACATTAATGGACTGTAAATTAAATGACTATTCAAAGAGTAAACTTTCCCTCCTTCACACATGTGGGGTTAATACCAGAAGTAAAGTACTCCCAGTACACTTCATTGAGGCTGGTTCTTCCTCGAATAAAATTAGTAACTCTTACTAAGATATAAATAAATAAACATGTGATAAATTGGTTAGTATCAAGAATATATTGGATAATGATTAAACAAGAAAATTATTCTCATCTAAAGTACATGAGTCTATCAAATTATACTTGATCTCCTAAATCACGTATATGAAATATATTCTCAAATTATTATTAGGTTTCAACCGTTCATTAGTAAATAAGAACTAAATTAAAACTGGCTCAGCTGCTTAGCTGTGACAATGAACGGAGATGCGGCGTCAAGATGACGTCATCTGGAACTTGCTAGAACACGTGATCCACTAGCGTTGAGTGGGAAAATGTTGAGATCACGGCAACTCCGACACACGCTGAAAACCCAATGGAATGTAAAATTTGTCTACACAAATTAGATTGTGTCATTACTATTCACTGGAAAGGAAAATCAAATTCTTTGCGGACGTACTTGGTGTTTGGGGAGGTATTACGGCGTAACGATGGACAAGGTACAGTAAAAATTATAGTGAGCTCCAATAACAATACTAGAACACTTAACCTGCTGGTTGTCCACCGATGCAATCCCTAGATCGCTACTGGAGTAGTTGCACACTCCAAGACCGATTAATAACAAGGGCCTGTCATAGAATTGTTGGAAACTTCGCCTCTCCCTGGTCTAATGGACACCACGTTGTCTCGCGTCCAACACTTCTGCCAGTAGCGTCGCTCGTGTTCTACTGCTGGTGGCGTCGCCACGCCTCCCTCTCCCTCAACCCTGCTCTGACGCATTCACAACATATTTTAGAAGAGATGGAAAATTCTTTTCCTCGTAATTACTCTACGTAATACGTTAATGAGAATAGGGTCGCAATTTTAGGGAATTAAATATTGTTTATACACTCGCTAGATGATGATAATTATGAACAGTGTTCTTATTAAACGAGAAATGGAGAGAATTTCTATTTCCTCCATGACGTTTGGATATAACAAATTAACTTGTTATATAGTGATATTTTAGTTGATAACTCGATATTGAATCACTAGTTGTTATATTATCAGATATTAATTCTTATAAAGAATACTGATAAAAGTTGATAATATTATTCAATTCTCTAACATGTTGATAATAACTATGTCTTGCTGGATATTATCTGACGCAATACCACCTCTCGATGTGGTGAGAATTTTAGTAAATGACGCGCAGATAGAAAATATTAATTTATATTAGTACTACAGTTAGTAGGGTTAATAACTACTATGCTTAATATGCAATAGTGATGTATTATGATACAATAGGAATGTATCAGTGTTGGAACTTTCCAACACTGTGACTTGTATTTTTGTCTATATCTGATATGAGAATACGGAAAAGCAGCGGTGCACAGACTGTACCCTGAGGTAAAGAGCTTTTAACTGCGCTTGGACTAGATTTTATATGGTTGACTGTTACTCGCTGAGTCCTATTTGACAGAAAACTGAGTATCCAGCGTCCTACTTTACCAGTTATTCCCATTGACTTCATTTTGTTTGCTATCACGCCATGGTCATATTTATCGAAAGCCTTTGCGAAGTCCGTGTATATCACATCAGCATTCTGTTTTTCTTCTAATGCCTCAGTGACTTTGTCGTAGTGATCAAGTAGCTGTGACAGGCACGATCTTCCCGCTCGAAATCTATGTTGGCCTTGGTTGTGAAGATCATTGGTCTCCATGAAATTGGTGACCTGACTCCTAATCACTCTCCCAAATACTTTTAGTATGTGCAACTGGTCTATAATTCTTTGCCAATGCTTTGCTCCCTCCCTTGTGTAGAGGGGCTATGTCTGCTACTTTAAGTGCATCTGGTATCTCCCCCGTGTCCAAGCTCTTCCTCCACAAAATACTGAGTGCCTGTGCTACCGGCACTTTGCACTGATGGCAGGCATTCAACACTCAGTGATTGCAGACGTTCATCACCCAGTGAAGGAAAGCGTTTAACACTCGGTGATGGCCGGCGTTCAACACTTATTGATGGCAGGCGTTGTACACTCAGTGATGGCAGGCGTTCAACATCCAGGTTTCGTAAGCGTTCAACACTCAGTGATGGCAGGCATTTAACACTCAGTGATAGCAGACGTTCAACACCCAGTGATGGTAGGCGTTCAACACCCAGTGATGACCGGCGTTCAACACTCAGTGATGGTAGGCGTTCAACACCCAGTGAGGACACCAGTTACACTCTCATTGAAAGCAGGCGTTCAACACTCAGTGATGGCAGGCGGTTAACATCCAGTGATGGCAGGCGTTTAACATCCAGTCAAAGCCTGCGTTCAACATCCAGTGATGGCAGGCGTTTAACATCCAGTCAAAGCCTGCGTTCAACATCCAGTGAAGGCAGGCGTTCAACACTCAGTGATGTCAAGTGTTCAACATCCAGTGATAGCAGGCGTTCAACATCCAGTGATAGCAGGCGTTCAACATCCAGTGATGGCAGGCGTTCAACTCTCAGTGATTGCACGTAATCAACGCTCAGTGATTGCAGGTGATCAACGTTCAGTGACGGCAGGCGTTCAACACCCAATGACGGCAGGCGTTCAACACCCAGTGATCGCTGGCGTTCAACACCCAGTGGCGGCAGGCGTTCAACACCCAGTGACGGCAGGCGTTCAACACCCAATGACGGCAAGCGTTCAACACCCAGTGACGGCAGGCGTTCAACACCCAGTGACGGCAGGCGTTCAACACTCAGTGATTGCAGGTGTTCAACCCTCTGTGATGGCAGGCGTTCAACACCCAGTGAAGGAAGGCGTTCAACACCCAGTGAAGGAAGGCGTTCAACACCCAGTGAAGGAAGGCGTTCAACACCCAGTGAAGGAAGGCGTTCAACACCCAGAGGTGGCTGGCATTCAACATCTGGTGATGGCAAGTTTTCAACACTCAGTGATGGCACTCATTCAACACTCAGTGCTGGCACTCATTCAACACTCAGTGCTGGTACTCATTCAACACTCAGTGCTGGCACTCATTCAACACTCAGTGATGGCACTCATTCAACACTCAGTGATGGCAGGCTGTCAACGCTCAGTGATAACAGGCTTTCAACACCAAGTAATGGCGGGCGTTCTACACCCTGTGATGATCGGCGTTCAACAACCAGCGGTGGCTGGCGTTCAACACTTAGTGATGAATGGTGTAATTGTACTCATCTCTGCTCATTGGTGTACTTGTACTCATCTCTGCTCATTGGTGTACTTGTACTCGTATAACTCTGTTCACTGATGTAATTGTATTCTTCTCTGGCCTCTGGTGTACTAGTACTTATCTTTTCTCACTCTCCTGTTTATTTGTACTCATATCTGCTCACTGATGTACTTTTACTCTTCTATGCTCTTTTTCTTTCGTCTGTTTCCCATTGACTCACACAACTAGAATGGAAAAGAAACTTATATCTCTCAGTTCTGTGACTATCGTGATGAGGCTTTCCTCTGGATATTCTCCTTCTTCATGTTGTGTTTAATATGATACGGACTCCACAATAGTCCAGCATGTTTTTTAATGTTTATGTTTTTTTGTGGTATAAGATGTTCACATATACTTTTTGTGAGTATTCATAAAATGAGTTATGTTTGCTACTGATGTGTTTGACATATGGAATTATATTGTACAGTTCGATGTTACATTAATCCTCAATTCAATGCATCTGGCTGAGTTCCTGGGAGGTTTCCTGTATCATTGATAAATCATGTCCAGCCTCAGGTAACCAGTCTCACTGGTACCTCATGTCCAGCCTCAGGTAACCAGTCTCACTGGTACCTCATGTCCAGCCTCAGGTAACCAGTCTCATTGGTACCTCATGTCCAGCCTCAGGTAACCAGTCTCATTGGTACCTCATGTCCAGCCTCAAGTAACCAGTTTTATTGGTACCTCATGTCCAGCCTCAAGAAACCAGTCTTGCCACTCACCTGGTTATGTTTGTGCATAGTTGCCACTCACCTGGTTATGTTTGTGCATAGTTGCCACTCACCTGGTTATGTTTGTGCATAGTTGCCACTCACCTGGTTATGTTTGTGCATAGTTGCCACTCACCTGGTTATCTTTGTGCATAGTTGCCACTCACCTGGTTATCTTTGTGCATAGTTGCCACTCACCTGGTTATCTTAGTACATATTTGCCACTCACCTGGTTATCTTTGTGCATAGTTGCCACTCACCTGGTTATCTTTGTGCATAGGTGCCCCTCACCTGGTTATCTTTGTGCATAGTTGCCACTCACCTGGTTATCTTTGTGCATAGTTGCCATTCACCTGGTTATCTTTGGTTTGTAACTGTACAGACATTTCCACAATAACATAAATGCATTTCACATAATTTGCAGCCCCACTCACGGAGCCCTGAGGTGTAGCCCCACTCAAGGAGCTCTGAGGTATAGCCCCACTAAGAGAGCCCTGAGGTGTAGCCCCACTCAGGGAACACTGAGGTGTAGCCCCACTCAGGGAGCCCTGAGGTGTAGCCCCACCCAGAGAGCCCTGAGGTGTAGCCCCACCCAGAGAGCCCTGAGGTGTAGCCCCACCCAGGTAGGCCCTTATGTGTAGCCTCACTCATGGAGCCCAGAGGTGTAGCCCACTCAGGGAGGCCTAATGTGAAACCCAACTCAGGGAACCCCGTTGTGTAATCCCACCTATAAAGCTCTGATGGGTATGGGCTCATAAGACAGATTCTTCAATATTCATACATGGGAATATGTAATAAGTATTCCTCACTCATTCAGTGGAACGCTGTAGGAACTTCATCCACCTTAATATCACAAATGCAGTCAACAGTAACAAACTAGGAACAATTCCTCAGTCTTGTAGTAAAGCAATTATTGGTTTGTTATCTACTTTGGAAACTATTCTGTAAGGGTTACTTTGTGTGTTGGGAATACAGTTTGTGTTCTCACCTGGCTTGGCGACCCGGATAAATTCATTGATGCCTTGAACAGGCAAATGGCCCTCAACCATGCCGCCACAGGTCACCACCACGTCATACGTATCTGGCAACACAACGCACGATCAACAATTCCACCAGGAACATTATAAACACAAGTGTTGCCACCATGTCATACATATATAGAAATACAACACAAGATAAACATTCCCACCAGGAACATTTTAAACACAAGTGTTGCCACCACATCATACGTATCTGGCAACACAACACAAGATAAACATTACCACCAGGAGCATTATAAACACATATGTTGGTACATGATCACACTCCTCAACATGTCATTGGATGGTCTTCAATTAACTGTTACGAAAACAAATTATTAACCTATATAAATAAAAATGGAAATGTTCGATTGTTCAAAATCGCTAATCTCCAAAAGTTCTTCACCGATTGCTTTGAAATTTTGACACAGCGTTGCATTTGAATAGGCGCGTCTTTTTATATTCCTACTATATAGAGGACACCCCTGTGACAGGTAAAAACATGCGTGTTTGAAAAACAGTGCCATCTGTTGCACATAATAGCAACATTCATGCTATACTAAATATGTCACCAATTCCATATCAATGTTTCCGATTGCATTGATAACTTATATTTTCATAGATTTAGAGTTATTTTATTTTATTTATTGAATTATTTTGTGTGACTGTGTTGGAATTGAGCTGTGTTGTTTACCATGCCGTTCATTTCGTAAGTATAAGTATAGATGCCACACCTGTGACATGTAAGACTGCTTTTCTTGACAAACAGTACCATCTGCTGCCTGAATGAGCAACACACACATGCTATACTATATATGTTACAATTCCATTTCAATGTTTCTGATTGCATTGATAAATTGAATTTTCATAGATTTTGATTGATTTTCATTTTGATTTAATTATTTTGTGTGAATTGCGTTGAAATTCAGCTGTGTTGTTTACCATACCGTTCATTTCGTGAGTAAAGTAATCTTTTTTTTTCATATTTTCATATCATTTTTTAACTGTTTTTCTTATATTTCAGTGATGGGAACATCAGATCAATTGATGTTCCCAATTTTCTGATGGGAACATCAGACCAATTGGGAAGGCATCGGACGAGGGAATGGTGGGGATGACGAGGGGACAGGGGAGTGGGACATGGTGGGAAGGAAGAGGGGATGGTGGAGGGGGGAATGGTTGGGAGGCCATGGAGACGGGTGAGGAGAGAATAGTGGGGAGGACTGGGGGACAGGGAAGGTTGCTGTGGCTCAGCAACGCACATGCGTTGCTGAGCCACAGCAACGCGTGACCGGGTACAGCTAGTGGTAAATAAAATTCATCAAATTGAAGGCGTTTAATTACACTTTTTATATAATCTAATTAAAAATTATTTTTTTTAGCCAGGAGACTAAACAGTCGCTGACATTTTGACATTTGACAGAGAAATCAAAACTATTATATTCTCAATTTGTCAAATGATTATATTTTTTCAAGTAATAAACATATCTTTACAAATCAATCAATAAAGGTTTACCAGCCCTCCATGTTATGGAATAGTGATGATGGCTGATGCATGAGATAAAGCCTGAGCCGAGTCTTAGTCTAGATGACAGGATCTACTAGAGGATGGTAGGATGTACTAGAGAATGGTAGGATGTACTAGAGAATGGTAGGATGTACTAGAGGATGGTAGGATGTACTAGAGGATGGTAGGATGTACTAGAGAATGGTAGGATGTACTAGAGGATGGTAGGATGTACTAGAGGATGGTAGGATGTACTTGAGGATGGTAGGATATACTTGTGGATGGTAGGGTGTACTAGAGGATGTTAGAATGTACTTGAGGATGGTAGGATGTAGAGGATGGTAGGATGTACCAGAGGATGGTAGGATATACTAGAGGATGGTAGGGTGTACTTGAGGATGGTAGGATGTACCTGAGAATAGTAGGATGTATCTAAGGATGGCAGGATGTACCCGAGGATGGAAGGATGTACCTGAGGATGATATGTACTAGAGGATGGTAGGATGTATTAAAGGATGGTAGGGCGTACTAGAGGATGGTAGGGCGTACTAGAGGATGGTAGGATGCCCTTGAGGAAGGTAGAATATACTTAAGGAAGGTAGAATGCCCTTCAAGAATGGCACCCAGTAAATCCTCCCCGGCCAGAATACGAACCCAGGCCAAAACGCTCGTGAAATGCCAATGGAGTGTCTTAGCTAATTCGCCACAGGGACTGTTTGACCCCGTGGTTCCCTACTTTTGATTCCCCTCACAGGGAATGTGAGGAGGAGGTCCAAGATCGTCTGGATAAATTAATACAACTCATAGAACAATTAAATATCAACTCCGAGTCTCAGAATGCTCTGGCATCAAACGGAGCTAATACATTTAACCCCCATCACTGAGGTCCGTCTACCTGCCATTGATTTTCCAGTATTTCAAGGCAGGGACGATGAAAACTTTGAATGTTACTGGAACACGTTGATTCATTATTGAACTGTAAAGGTTCTGTTACCAAATAAAAAAATACCGTTATTTGTAAAGTAAATCGAGAGGTGAAGCAAAACCAGTTATTGACAACCCGATTTATAGCGATGACGACTATGATACCTGCCACACAATTGCTGCAACTCAATTATTGTAACAAAGAGACTGCTTTAGCCATTCTCTACTATAAATTGTGAGCTAAACCTACACCAGGTAAAGCACTTGAGGCTATACAAGACTTTAGAGTCCAAGTTCTTTCTTTGTCAAAGCTCTAGCAGATACGACTGATGTTTGTCATGCCGAATTGGTGTTAAAATTAAATTCAGAACAAATTACCAAAAGAAACCTTGGAATCTCTTTGCTCTCACTATGAAACAGACATCCTATCTCTGGACGAAATTTTTGAGGGTGTGAGGATGATTGTGAATCGTATGAGAGCACATGAGAAAATACTACAAATACAGTGTTCTTAAGTGACAAGTCTAAAACGAAGACGTCAGAGGAAACAAAAAGTACATCAATTACTAACCCTAAACACAAGCAAAAGACTTCCACTTCTAAGTGGAAGTCAGGCAGTGTAGGCACTTTAGAAGGGGGGTTCCATGAAGCCTATAGTTACTGTGTCACCCAAGGGAGTGACTCCAAAAAGTGCTGTAGGCTGGCAGACATGTCTGTTCTGCCAAGAGGAACATTCTATATACCACTGCACAAATTATCCAGATCGTGTCACCCGTGTAAAACAACTCAAGGAATAGTAAAAATGCACTGTCTCAGGTCACACAAAACTAACACCTGTGAGACCCGAGACCCAACTACATACCTGCAATAGGTGTAACAAGGGTCAACACAATACAATACTTTACACAAAAGTAAAGTCTCCAAAACCCAAGGTGGAGGAAGATAAATCTTCCACCCCAGTAAGTACTATAAGGTGCGACAGGAAATTATTGTCCTGTTGACAAAGTCCAACAATAACCTGATTTTGCCCACTGCCCAAATGATCATCAAAAACAAGGGGTCCAAGGGCTATACTCGAGGGTTGTTTGACCAAAGGGTTCCAAAACACTTACGTCACTTAAAAGATGGCAAATGATCTTCAATTAACACTTGTTAACCAGGTAAAATAGAACATTTTGGGGTTCCTGAGAACATAGAGCCTCAAGCATACCTGGTGGTACAACGTCTTGTTTGTTTGGGGTTCATGTTCGTCCAGTACAGGCCATCGCTGTGAACAAAATTCCGTCGGACCTATATGTTCATAGTCTATGAGCAACTGCCAAATTCCAGAACGAAAGAACAGTTAAATTTGCAAACAATAAAATTATCTCCGACCACCTCACCCATATCCACTACGGGCTCACCATAGCCCGTGCTACTTGGAACTTTTTGTTCCAGGTAGCGAATCTTTAACAACAACAACAACTCACCAATACTGGAATCCTTGTAGGTGTGGACTACTACCATAAATTCATCACTGGACCCATAAAATAACAGGGAATGAACCTGTTAATATGCATGAGACACAAATTATTTAAAGGCCTAGTAATGAATCTGAATAAACCCACACCTATAGACAACAAACAAACAAATCAATTCAGTGATGGTTGCATGAGTAGGCGAAGAGCAGTCACCACTAATGTTCAGAAACATGATTAAGTATGTGCTGGATCTCCCTGTCTATAAAATATGGGATCTAGCTACCTTAGGAATCGTTCCTAAACAACCTAGTCGAAACGATGCCTGGACATATACACAATACCTTGACTCAGTTGTATACAGAGACAAACAATGCATGGTCAGGCTACAATTTAATGGCACAAAACCAAGTAAGGTCTCAGGTGTTACGCTTACAAAGACAACTTGAGCACCTGAAATTGTACAATGAAATGATCCAAAAAAACTCTGAAATATATTAGTTTAAGTCGTAGAAAACGACGACCCTAAAGAGGAACACTATTTACCTCATCCTATTGAAATCCTCAGTTACTACCCCACTGAGGATAGAATTTAACTGCAATGTCAAGGCAAACATAATAGTGTCTCTTTGAATAACTGCCTTCAAACTGGCCCTAGCCTAACCCAAAGGGTATATGATGTGCTATTAAAATTGTGAACAGGAGTTTATACATATACGGCCGACATAAGCAAGGCATTCCAAAGGGCAGGCCTCCAAGAGGATGACAGAAACTTCACAAAATAGTTTTGGATCAAGGATCCCAGTGATCCAAATAGTGATTTAATTTGGAGGACTTCTTCTCCCTTTCAGCCTCAGGCCACATTAGACATGCACTTGACAAAGTTCAATAGTCCTTATAAGACTGAAATTAGCTTTAATCTGTACCTTGACAATTTCCAAGGAATGACTAGCAGCGGAAAGGAGCTGCTAACAATTTGCCATGGAAGTCAATTGAGAGTTGTTGGGAGCCAATATGCCTCTCCAGTTGTGGGCTACAAATAATGAAAATTAAACAAACATTTAGAATCATAATTTTCTGACTACCAAGGGCCTCAGAAAATTAAAGTATTAGGAGTAGAATGGGAAACATGAACTGATCAACTCTCAATCTTTGATTGTGTTCCATAATACGG